AAATGGAAACTACTAGAGTATATTCAGGATTTTAGGTAGGTCATTTCTTCACGTTCGTTTGGGTGAGAACTGCTTGTTTTGTTCTTGGAGCATCGGTGAGTGTACTTCTGTGGTGTTTTCTTGCGAGCACGACAGATTTCAAATTTCAAGCCCACCTCGACGTTTTGGAATTGTTGGGTTGGACATAGGCTTCTGGCATGTTGCATAGTTTTTGCAGAAGGTTTGCGGGAATGAGCTAATTTGGGAGATCTCAATGCACATTATGTATACAGCGGTAGTAATGCTTGGATCCAAAGTAGGTTAAAGGCAGGTACAGGTAGCAAGCAGCAGCGCAACCAGATGCCGAAGGGCCGCAGAGCATATCATGCGCATAGCAACCAAGAATGTAAGCGCATGCTAGAAGCTTCGGCCGGAGGGATTCCAGATAGCTTTGAGGACAGCAAGTGAGCTGGGCGGCAGGGGACGGCACACTGGTAGCATGCTGAAAGCACCATACATCCTGTCTCTGGGGTCATAGAATCCTGCAAGGAGCGTTGCTCATGGTTTGTTTACTTGCTTTCACTACAGATGTTGAAAAGCAGATTGTCACAGGCATATTCTGGATCATCAAGATCTGTCAGGATTGGCAGAAGGCGCATACTGGCTGACATGAGGAGAGTTTGGCGTGATTTGGGAAATTCACATTCAGTCTTCTGGATGACGAGGCTTTGGTGACTGGGCCTTGGTCGCTGGTCGTTGATGCATGGTATGCTTCCCACCTCCAGGTTTCACATTGGACATTCACACTACAGCACGTGCGAATGCCGCCAAGCTTGGCGTGACACCAGAGCGCCTCGGATCCAAAGTTGTGTTTGAACAGTTTTCTGTGGACTGTGGGTTAAAATCTTGGGTTCATCAGGGGCGTACGTCGGAAGTGGCCCCTGTCTAAGAAGTTGTGGCTGTCATTCGCAATTATTTAGCATGAGAGGTTCAGCTGTAAGACTCAGTTTTATTTGGTCAACCTTCCACGCGCAAGATCTCAAAAGGGGTCCTCCTGGCTTACATCATTCGGAGGCATTGAATTAGAAACGCAGGTTAAAATGTATCCTAGTTTTGCTTCATGCCCTCAATGTTGCCAGCAGAACCATTCCGTTGTACCTATTTCCTCTGAGGATGTTTGGCAGTGACGTCCAACCTTGCATGCCATAATGAATTGTAACGAACAATAATGAAGGGTATGGCCTTTCCTGGCATTGCCACCGCAAGTGCTACAGTCCTCCAAGGACGTCGCCATTTTCCCAGGGCCTGATGAAAATGTTCTTACAATCGGAACAGAAGAGATGCATCCCGAAACATGGTAGTTTTCGGAGCCAGACAGTTTCACCAAGGCCTGAGATACTTGGTCCATATTGAACTCTGAGCTGTGCCTTTTGGCCTTTGGCAGTACGACTGGGAAAGCCAGACCACATTTGGCATAGAGTCCCAAATACTATAATCCTTAGTATT